ATTTCTAGATTTCTTGTGTCATGTATTTGGTTCATTCACTGTGATTTGAATATGCATTAGTGAGATACAATGTGAGGTTTGACTTTGATTTTCTTGAGGCAGTAGCTTTCTTGTCAAAGTTAATCATTTTTTCCTCTAATTACTTATATAGTATTTTAGCTAGGTCTTTGCCAACCAACTACCCTTTTGTATGTGTTCTTCTATTGAGCTTATCTTTGTTCAATTTGGTCGTATGTATTGAGTTTTGGCTTTATATTTTTATCTGCTATTTGTGTGGCCATTTTCCAATTTGAGTTTGAGCCTAAAGTCTAGCAAATTGTTAATTGCTTTTCTCTCATTTGTGTGTAGTTATCTTGAATTTTCTTCTTCTAAGTTATGTTTTCTTTGTTATTATTTAAGATTGGTTTTCCCTTGCTAACTTGATTTTGTCTTTCTTTTGCTTGCTATGAAATATGTCCGAGTCCTTGTGGATTCTCTCTTTGCATTTCCGAGATGAGCCGTGAAAGCTCAAATCTCTTTATCGAGTCAACCTTGTCGATTGGAAGTTGACGAACAGGTGTACAAGGTCGAAAAATGATAAATATGGGCTGAAAAAATTAAAATTACAGATTCTGAAAGGCTGAAAACAGCTTAACACAGCCTTTATACACTGATATAAGGGTCAGAACGTGAAAATACGAGTGGAAAGTTGGAACTGCAGGCTGAAAAATGCGAGAATATAGGCATAATGAATATACGGGAACAAATGTAGACATTCGGGCTGAAAATCATTCCGTATACGTCTATATACACTCAGTGTATATAATTCGCTCAAAGTAAAAAAATGGGCCCAAGGCCTCAACCAATTATTTCAGCAGGTCCAAGATAAGGCCCAAATTTGGATACTCATTTCCTTGCTCTTATTTGTTTTATTATATTTGACTACCATATTTATTTGATCTTTGGTTTAACTTAATTAATTCCCCGAAGATAGCCGTCTCTTTTTATATTCAGAGTTAAATATTTATTTTTTCTTATGTATTTTATTTACTATTTAGCTCTATTTTAATATTAGTCATGTCGAAACTCAAGTTATTTCCCCTTAGGAAAATCCCATTTAGTCCCATCTTCCTAAAGATAATAAAAATAATAATAATAAAAATAAATGAGTTTCCTTTTTTTTTTTTTTTGCTTAGTTAAATTTTCAAAAATTAGTCAAAGTTATTTTAGTCAAATCGCCGGTCAACCGCGAGTTAGCGGGCATTCCGAGGGCCTAACACCTTCTCGGAATGTACATTGAACTTCGAACCCTTTTATTTTCAATTGATTTTATCTGTTTAAATCTTTTGAAAACCTTTAATTTTTTCTTGATTTTTTTTTTACTAAAAATTAAGTGGCGACTCTGTCCTTTTGGAAACCCGATTTCTCTTAAACCATAAGTTTAATCGGTTTTTCGAAAACTAAGTCATTTCCCCAACTATATCTTTTTGAGTAAACAGCCTCGATTCTTCAATCTTCAATAGCCGTTGGAGATTTTTCATAATCTTCACCTTCCTTAATTGAGATGTAGCCGTTTGGAATCTGCTTTGATTTAGGCTTCCTTGATTGATCTTATTTAATTTAAGATCTGCCTTGATTTATGTTCTCTGTATTTCAGCTTCCTTGATTGTTGGTCTTCAATTGTCTTGTTTGGTAATCTTCCTTGATTTAAGCAGCATGATCTTGTATCTCTATTTTGGATTCTTTCCTTTTTGATGATCAGCTAACCTTGAAACGCATTAAAATGTTTATCATTAAAACTTTGCACTAACATGTTCCTCCTCAAACAACTATTAGACACACAAATTAATATAGCACCCACCTCGCTATACAAATCAAATAGGTTTACTCCTACCTATCTGAATCATCAAGACACTTTAAACATTGAAATAACTCTCAATACAAAGTATGCTTAAAGACTCAAATGGGTTGACTATAGATAATGATAGGGTAGACTTAGTAAAAAATTGGCTCAACAATTAGGTAGGGAAAATAATTATCTCCATATACATAATGCAATGGGTTGACTATGATAATGATAGGGTAGACTTAGTCAAAAATTGGCTCAACAATTAGGTAGGGAAAATAATTATCTCTATATACATAATGTCTTCAATTTGAGGGACACAAATTCTAACTTTCTTCTATGAAATAAATTACTGATCGTACAATTTATTCATAACAAATAATCAATCAATTCAAAATTTGGAAAATGTTGTCATCTCAAGTCAATGCCCAAATCTTATGGGAAACGTCAAGTTTGGCTCTCTTTGTATAACAACATTATTGTTTTTCTTATCGAAGAAATAGAAGAAAACAAGCAAAACACAAATTTTTCATGTCGTTTGGTAGAGTTTATTGGAAAAAATAATGCATGTATTAACCTTTTGTATTATTAATATCTTGTTAGGTAAGCATTGGTTCTACATTCTGGGATCATAAAAATAAAGCTAAATAGAGTGTGTTAGTAATACATGTATTCATAATGCTTGTATTAGTAATACTTGCATTAATAAAACACATTGCATAACTTCTATAAAAAAATATTTGTTTAGGATAATACCCTCCACACTCTATAGCTTTGGAAAATAGAAAATGTGTTGAGAAGGATTTGAAGGGTTATTATGCCATTAATCAATCTAATACATGTCTTGAAACCTTTTGTATTACTAGTACATAAAAATCTATGGTATTAGTAATACACACCTCAATACACAATAAAGCGTATAACTGATACAAATATTAGATATACATAGGCTAAAAGTGTATTGAATTAACAAGGTACTAATAATACACAAAGCTTATGGATGCATGTTTTTTGTAACGAGGCACTCGTCTTATCCCACCATGACAAGTAAGTCGAAAATCCAAAACATAACGATAGAAAAGCGGAAATTAAAATATCAATGGCATAAATGCGGATAACTTAATCAACTCAAAAATACCCCCAAAATCTGGTTGTCACATGTACAAGCCACTATTACAATTGAATTGAAAAAAATTACAAGTCTCAAATGTCTTTGTTTCTAGAGTAGAACAAGAACATAATAAAGGAACAAGACGGCTTGTTGAGATGACAAGCAACTACGTACCTCTCAAGTGTCCACAGAAAAGCCTCGGACGAAGTAGAGAAGAAGGATAATCACATAGATCTGGGCTCGTGACCTACACAAGTGTAGAAGTAAGGAGTAAGTACCAAACCACATGGTACTCAACAAACAAACTACTAAACGCTAAGTCAAGCAAAGCAGAATACGAGCACTCCTTTCATTCCAACCAAACTTCCACAAACTACAACCTACACATAAATCAACCCAACCTAACAATCTATAAATCACGGAACACATAGTTCAATAGTAACATCTCAACAAGTACAGATCAGTCACGATCAAGTATCAAGTACATCAATCGAAAGTCTCATAAAAATGATCATAACTTCACAAATGGTAATGATGTGCAATGCAATGATACGTCAAGTAAAGTGTCTGTCCTACAATACACTTCCGTTGAATCTCAATTCGAAACCCATAGGGGACTTCCTAGTTCATGCATCTGCCATAGGCGTGTGGCCCGATCCCAATTTTATCTCAATGAATCTGCCAAAAATATGTGGCTCATTCCCTATTTCCACTCAATGTTTCCACCATGGACGTGGGGCCAAATTCCTATTTCCTCTCATCCTCACCAATATCATCACAACAGTGGTACAACATAAATGCAAACATAATAGTGCATTACATAATAGTGCATTGATCAAATATGAGGATGATAATTCAACACTAATATCCAACAACAATTAATCAAAGCATATCATTAAGTGTTCATCTCATTCGGTCAATTGCCACAACATAATCAAGTCACACAAATCAACAAGATTCTAATTTTTAATCCAAGTTGTTTAGCAAGTTCACATCATTAAATTACCATACACAATTCTTATATGAATACCATCACCAATTTCCATTACTTCCTCCATCCCAATTTTTGTGGCACTTTTCTGATTTTGAAATTCAAACAAGTCTATCTTTGATCATAAATTTTGCATATATCTTTTAATTATTTTAAATTGCCAATTATTGTGACTTAAAACCTTTTTACATAGTTCACAAATATATAAATTTCATTTTAAAAAAAATTGAAGATTCCACGCGCAAATTTCTGGTCAAACTTAATCTGTTTGACTCTCGAAAAATGAAAAGTGTCACATAAATTGAGACAGAGAGAGTATTTCCCAACGCATATAACAAGTAAGCTTTCTGATTTTTCCATATGAAACAATTTCTATTTTTTCTTTTCATACCGATTCAATCTCTAATTATCGATGGAATAGCCATTGAATATTTTTAGATAGAAAATTTTGTAGGAAAAAATATAGTGATATTTTAAGTAGTGTAATATTGAAGTCTCACAACTTTAATGTATGTTAGTGTTAATTTTTATATGTGATGGTGGTAGTGAGGTTTCTTGTTGAATAATTTGAATCTTCAGAAGGTGTTTTAAATTTTTTATTTGGTACTTTGTACCTGCCAAAGGCTACATATACATTCTTTCTGTTCCGTTTTACTTCAATAAATTTTGACTTGACACACCTATTAAGAAAACAATGATTGCAATAGTGAGTTCAATAGAGTCTTAAACATATTTACTCACTACATTTTTCAAAGAAATTAACTCAATGTTAATAAATTGAGGATACAATATAAAAAAATAAATTATCCTTTTTGATTTATCAAAAATGACAAGTAAAAAGAGATATCAAATTAGAAAAAAAAAATGGACAAATATAGATAGGGACAGGAAGTATTCTCATACTTGAATCCAAGAAATGCAAACATTTCATCCAATACACAACATTTATTGAATACATTAATATCTTACATAAACTTGATATGTCATCAAAGTACATAACATTACATTTTCCCAAGTTAATAGAAAAAGGAAGAAGAAAAGGCTTTACTTATACAACTTTAAAAGAAACCAAAAAAAGTAAAAACTAGCTAATAAGCTAGCAACATATGATATTATTGCATCTCTGTTGAGCATTCCACCAAATGCTCCTCCAAGCACCTGCATGCATGTTGGAATTTATTTATTTATTATCTGATTTTTATTTTTACACCAAGAGAAGTAAGTCTTACTACTATTATTTTGAAAAACTTAATCTATTTTTATTGCTTCTACCAATTGATTGTGGAAAAAGAAATATGCTTTGGATATAACAACATGAAAATTTAGATATATAGATCAAACTATCATTCACTTGTATACCTGAAATTTTTAGTGCCTTTGACTTTGCTGCCTTTTTCTCTGTCGCATAATAATTTTGTACTCCAACCCTTCAATGATTCTTGCAACCCATTTCAAATTTCCAGTTGAGATCATGATATATATAATGGATACTCCAATACATAGCCCACTTCCATATCCCATAAGAGCAGCTTTCCAAAAATCATTTATAAATTCAGAATCGCTTTCTTCATCATCTGACTCATAATCCCTATTATTTGTCTCTGGTGTCAAATTATTTCCACAACCTTTCGAAACAGGAAATCCTTGTAATCCATCATTACCTTCATATGAATTATTTTGAAATGTACCAAATTGATGTCCTTGAGGAATGCATCCTTGAAGATGATTGTGAGAGAGATTTAAGAATGAAAGAAATGTAAGAGCAACAAGTTGTTGTGGTATCTCTCCTGAAAGCTGGTTGAATGAAAGATCCAATGATTCGACTAAAGATAAACTTTCAAGTGATGATGGTATATTACCTTGCAATCTGTTATGAGATAAATTTAGCACCCTAAGTGCAATGAGATCTCCCAAACTACTTGGAATATGTCCTTCAAATTTGTTACTTGAAAGATCGATAGTCTTGAAAAGTGTCGAAATTCTATCCAGTTCATACTCCATTCCCTTCGTTGAAACTGTTACAGAATCATTGTAATCTCTCTCTCCAGATTTACCAAGATATGTTGGTACCTTCGCTGTTTGATCAATTGTCCTCATGGCTTTCAGTTTTTGAAATAGACTAGTCGACAAGTTTCCTGTGAAAGCATTATAAGAAAGATCTATGATTCGAAGCCCATAAAACATGTTTCCATTACTTAAAGCTCTAATTGGCCCATGCAATTTGTTCGATCTCAAGCTTAAAACTTTCAGATTTGGCAAAGTTTCAAACCATATTGGAAATGTGTCGTTGAAGTTATTGTCTCCTAAATCAAGAATTTCCAAGTTTTTGCAATTGGCTAAAGATCGGGGGATTTTTCCTTCTAATTCATTGTCATGCAAGTCTAAGCTTCTGAGTACACTTCCATTGCTAAAAGTTTCTGGAAGAGTCCCATAAAGATTGTTTTGGTGGATATCCAAAACCTCAAGATGACCACCCATGTTGCCAAAACATTGTGGAATTTCTCCCTTCAAATTGTTTCTACCCAAATCTAAAATCCTTAGTGACGTTAGATTGCAAATAGACGAAGGGATATCTTCACCGAGATTATTATCTTCTATTTTCAATACCTCGAGTCCACTAATATTGACTAGACATTGCGGAATTTCTCCCCTCAAGTTGTTTCTCCCCAAATACACCACTTCCAATTTCATCAAATTGCAGAAAGATGAAGGAATTTTCTTAGTGAGATTGTTGTTGTGGAGATACATCCATTGCAAGTTTCTCAATTTGCCCAAGGAATCCGGAATTGAACCAATGAGTTGATTAATATTTAAATACATAGTAACAAGTCTTCCTATATTCCCCAACTCACTTGGAATCGAACCAGAAAGGTTGTTAGCAAAGAGAGACAAAAGATACAACTCATTCAAATTCCCCAAAGAAGTAGGAATAGAACCACTAAGAAAATTAGTAGAGAAATCTAAATAACTAAGAGTCCTTAGGTAACCTATTTCTTCAGGAATGGAGCCAGAAAGGTTATTCTGATAAAGGTACAGAACAGAAAGGCTGGTCAAATTTCCCAATGAAGCAGGAATAACACCACTTAGAGAATTCTTAGCCAAAACTAGTTGACTAAGAGACCTTAAACAACCTATTTCTTCAGGAATGGAGCCAGAAAGGTTATTCTCCTGAAGATACAGAATAGAAAGGCTGGTCAAGTTTCCCAATAAAGCAGGAATAAACCCTGAAAGATGATTCCCATTAAGAAACAAACTAGATAAGTTGGTCAAATTTCCCAATGAAGTAGGAATAGAACCATTAAGAGAATTAGTACCCAAATCTAGAGAAGTAAGAGACCTTAAATAACCTATTTCTATAGGAATCGAGCCAGAAAGATTATTCTGATAAAGAGACAAAATAGACAAGTTGGTCAAATTACTCAATGAGGTGGGGATTGAACCATTTAAAAGGTTGTCATAGATGTAAATGTTCTGGAGCTTGGCTAATGACCCGATTTGTGATGGGATTGTGCCTGAAATCAGATTGGTGTGCAAGTCTATATAGACAAGATTAGTGAGATTACTAATTTCAGGTGGGATAGTTCCAGAGAGATTATTCACACTAAGATCAACATATTCAAGAAAAGGGAGAGTCGAAAATGGAAAGTCATAGAGTGTACCGATGACACGAGCACCTTGAATATCCAACTTGCTTACCCTACCATTTAAGCAAATAACTCCATACCAATCCCTGCATGCATTCGAACTTTGAGTCCATGAAGCTAATAAGGAATTAGTCTTGTTCTTGAAAGTTGCTTTCCATTTTAGGAGGGCAATTTCTTCCTCCTTGGAAGCAAAAGTAACCGAAAAGAGATATAAGAGAATGAGAAATTGAACTATTTTGGGAACCATCATCAAATATATTGATAATATGCTATTTTCTTGGATTTTTTTTTCTTTTGATAAACTTGTGTAGTGTACACATTTATTTATATTGTAGAGATCTTTTTTTATGGTATTGCTAGTCAATGACAAGTCAGTCTTATAATTATTATTATTATTATTTTAAAATAAAATTATCCTATTGGTGAATAGTTCGTTTAGTCAGCTAAATGAATAGGGAAGTATAATTCTCAAATTAGTCCAACGTCATAAATACGATAGAGTAGCATGACTCTTCTGTAAAATAATAATAATTTTGAAATATTGATCTTTTCTAATAGATATGATTTTAAAAATCAAACTCCCCTCCCACAACTTTGAATAATAATCAAAATCCTCCATTTATCTTATGCATTGTCCATTTTATCCTTGTTATATCACATATATCTAATACCTCTTTGTATTATTATATAATTTATTTTTTAATCTTGGTATTTATAGCCGTTTCTTTTAAGTTCATTAATATTACAAGTAGAATAATATTTTAATGAATTTGTCACAAATTATAATATTAATTTTATGACCAGTATTCCAATATAATATTCAATAATTTAGAAATAATCCAAGTTTTTTTATTAAAAAAAAAGAACTGTGCAAATAATTTATTTTAGCTAATAAAAGTACTAGTTGTGGCAATGCTATTTGAGTGCTTTCCACTTAATTGAAGTTTCATTTTCTTGTCCTTAAAAGAAAAAAAAACACACCTAATTTAAATCGAGAAAAAGACTATTTATGTATCAATAATGGAAATTTTAATCTTTAAATTGAATACTTGATATAAACATCAATTGCGGACAAGGTTTTACTTATTATTATTTTTTTTAAAATTTACATTTGATTTTAAAGAATTCACTGTATATGATTGATCAACTTCTATTTTACTACACCAAAGACTACTACTCCATAATTGAATGGAAACACAGCCTATAAATTTTATTTTTTCTCACTTTTTAAATACTAAACACATTTCTTTAAATTTTACTAGTCTTGTAGAAATTTCAAAGAGAAATATTAGGTAGGGAAAATAATAATCATTCTTCATATACATGCTTCTAATTCAAACTTTCTTCTATGAAATAAATTACTGATCGTACAATTTATTCATATCAAATAATCAATCAATCCAAAGTTTGGAAAATGTTGTCATCCTCAAGTCAATGACCCAAGTCTTACGGAAACGTCAAGTTTGGCTCTATTAATTGTCTAACAACATAATTGTTTTTCTTGTCCAAAAAATGACCTTTATTTTAAAAAAATAAAAGAAAACAAGCAAAACACAAAATTTCCTTGTCGTTTGATAGAATGTATTAGCTTTGTTTATTATTAGTATCAGTGACATACATAGGATATCTTGCAAGCGGTGTCTACTTTTAAGTATATATATATAACACAATTCACATATACTATTTATATTTTTTTCAAAAAGTGACAATTTTTTAAAAACTTTTCCTGGATAAGTTTTCGTTTTGAAAATAATCTCATTAAATATAATAGTAGGTTGTTAGGGATGACGATGGAGCAGGGCGTATGCGGGGCGGAGTGGGTTTGAGGCTATGCGGAACGGGGTGGGTTGAAGTGTTTTTTTTTTCAAAACTAATGCGGGGCGGGGCGGTTCGCGGGTATTAGGGGTGTTCGTGGTTCGGTTTGGATCGGTTATTGATTAAAACCAAAACCAAACCAATCTAGTCGGTTTTTTAAATTTCTAAAACCAAATCAAGCTAAACGAAAAGAATAACCGTCGGTTTGGTTATTGTCGATTTGGTTGGGTTTGGTTCAGTTTTTCTGGTTTATTCGGTTTGAAAGTAATAACTTTTTTGAGGATATACATATCTCAATAGACACAAACACCTAATACATGAACAATCCATAGAAAAGTTATTGTCGGTTCAATTAAACAATACTAAAAATTATCATTACACGAATAAAGTGATTCAATTAAGAGAAAGTATGACTATTTTATGTGAAGTAGGGTAGTTAAAGACTAAAATGAATTTTGATGGACTTGGACGTAGGATTGTTATAGTTGGGCTAAAGTGTTGGGTTTGAGAAAATGGTAAAGTTAAAGACTTAAGTTAAATAAAAGTTTACAAAATATTTATCTTTTATTTATGAGTAATATATAAATAATTATAAAATTTATATATCTAATTTATCGGCTTGGTTGGGTTATTTTTGGGTTTTTTATTTAGTAAAACCAAAACCAAACCAAATAGTATCGATTTTCAAAATTTAAAACCAAACCTAACCTAACCAAAACAAATATCAATTTTTTTTAATCGGTTTGATTCGGATTGCAGTTCGATTTGGTTTTTTAACCATAACCATTAACATTTTTGGAGGGTATATGTAATTATAAGCGGGTTCAAACTTAATTTTAATTTTTACATGTTATAAAAGTCATAGAGCATTATTTATTAAGATAATTTCCTTAAAGCTACTAAAATATTGAAGATAGTAAATGAAAATGGTTCAATAAAAAATAATACAATTTCTTACATGTTTTTCAATTGACCTCTAAAAAATATATTTTTAAGTCATTATCTATTAATTAATACAACTTAATGAAAAAATGAATTTATTTGTATGAATTTTAGTTTTAGTATCAAACTTAATCAGAAAAAGAAAACATTTTAAAAATTATGTGATGCTGATTGAAAATGAAAAAAATTATTACACGGAGGATTAAAAATTTTGCGGGTTAAACTCAACCCGCCCCGCCCAATAGCCATCCCTACAAGTTGTACAAGTTTGAACTCACGACCCTCACACAACAATTGACACACTTAACCAATTGAACTGCGTGTCCTTTATAACAAAAGGTAACACTATATTGTATATATCTTTCATCTTTTGTCTTTTAATATATATATATATTCGCGGGGTTTAGATAAAGAAGAAGTTGCTAACAACATAGGCTAAGGGAAAGAGATGAACAGAGTAAAAAAAAAAGTATTTTGGGAGAAATTACATAGATTTAGTAATAACAAACTACTAAACTAGATAAGGGAACCAAAGGAGGGAGTACTGAGTAGGACTTTACAACATAAATCACAAACCACATCTTTCCTCAAACTCATCACCTTTATTACTCAAACTCATCACCTTATATATATATATATTGTAAGTTTTTCTGATAAAGCAATGTCCCGTGACACCCTTTGGACCTTCCTAGATCCACCCCTAATTAGTATCTTGTTTGGTAAGCATTAGTTATATACTCTGGGATCATTTGGTTGGATGTATACAAATAATGGTGAATAGAGTTTATTAATAATGTATGCATTCATAATGCTTGTATTGATAATACTTGCATTAATTATACTGAGATTATTTCTTATGTAGTGTTTGGTTTGGTGTGTTAATACTCCCTCCATCCACTTTTATTTGTCATGTTGCGCTTTTCGAAAGTCAATTTGACTAATTTTCAAAGTTAAATTATATTACATTAATTCAATATTTTAAACAAAAAAATTAGATATTCAAAAACTATATGAAAAGTACTATACATTGCAATTTTTTGCGTATCAATATGATGAAAAAATATATTGTAAAATCTAAGTCAAAGTTATTATAGTTTGACTCTAAAAATGGAAAGTATGACAATTAATAGTGGACGGAGGGAGTATGTCATGGCCCGAGCCTACACCCTAGGCGGGACTGACACTCGAGAACCATTGTTGGCCCCAAGCGAACCCTTGGTCTGACTTATTTACTCAACGGAAGACTTAATTCAACAAAGACAAGTTTATGTAATAAAATGATATGTTATAAAGGAACATTCAACTTGGCCATTAAGGCAAACTCAAGTCTTAACATAAGATAATGACAATGAAAAGACTAAAGAACTAACATCTGATTGTCTATGAAACCTCTAAAACAACTGAGATGGATGTCGGGACAAACCCCACGACATCCTAATGAACTAATAAAATAATTGAAAGAAATAAAAAGGAATCCTCCGGAATGCAATGAGGCTCACCAATTGACTCTGGAGTGCTCACTGGATCAACGATGCGCGAGATGTCGATCCTAGTTACCTGTGTCGCATCATAATAAGATGCAGGCCAACTGACATCAATACATTGAATGTACAAGTATGCGAGTTGGAATGCTAAACACAACATAGGCTTGAAAGGAATCTGAAGAACTTACCTCGCTCAACTCAATATAACTGAACTCATTTCAATATAAAGTAGTTTAAAACAAGTGCAATATAAAGAAAATCTGTTTAAAACATTATGTCAACTCTGTGTGTATGCAAAGATACATATAACTTTGAGATGTATGTAAAAATACAAATAAACAGTGTATTTAAGAATACAATTACTTCTGTGGGAGTTTCTCTAACCGACAATTATCACGTAAGAGCTATTATAATGATACAACGTTTTGCCTCACGCTGCCAGGGCCGTCCTATACCTTGCCCAGGGTATAGAACCTGAACTACTAAGTGGATTCACTAGTCAATGCTAAAAAACACTAAAGGAATCATCTAGAACGTATTTTCTACCCATGATGGCTACATGATTTATGTGGGCTGTGAGTTGTCTGAACTCTCCCCCATATCGGTGCTCAATATTACTCCCAAAAATGTGATATTAGCTCTTATGTTTAAAAACATACTTCTTTCTGTGATTTGAGATAATTGCTCAAAAACTTAGCTCAAAGGCTATCTTGGAAATCATAGTTTCCTCTCTTGCTTCATTTAGAAAGCGATTACTCTTTGCTAATAACTAGCTCAAAGGCTCTTCGG